CTCTCTCTCTCTTTTTCTTTTTTTTTGAGATGGAGTTTCACTCTGTTGCGCCGCAGGTTGGAGTGCAATGGCGCAATCTTGGCTCACTGGCACCCCTCCGCCTCCCTGGGTTCAAGTGATTGTCCTGTCTCAGCCTCCCAAGTAGCTAGGATTACAGGCGTGCACTACCGTGCCCAGTTAAATTTTTTTTTTTTTTTTGTATTTTTAGTAGAGTCAGCGGTTTCACCATGTTGGCCAGGGTGATCTCAAACTCCTGACCTCAGGTGATCACCCTGCCTCGACCTCTCAAACTGCTGGGCCTCTCATGAGCCCTCGCGCCCGGCCCCTCCTCTGATCTCTCCTCTTTCGAAAGGCGACATCTTTGCAGATCCGGGAGACACTCCTTGGCTGCCCCAGCCTCACTGTGAGAGACTTTTGCAGTCATTCCCATTCCCCACCCCCCAAGGGGCCTCAGTTTCCCCATCTCTGGCATACCCAGGTCAGACAGAAAAGACCCTTTCTCAGTCACCCAGGTGAAGCCCATCCATGCCCACAGTGCCAAGACACTCCCCAGCCCACAGGATCCCTTGGTTGGAGGGATGTCTAGGTCCTTAGGGTACCTCTCCCTTCCCCCTCTCCCTTTTTTAGAGATAGGGTCTGGCGCTCTCGCCCACGCCGGAGTGAGTGGGAGCGATCATAGCTCACTGCAGCCTCAAACTTCTTGGGTTCAAGCGATCCTCCCTCCTTGGCCTCCCGACCTCTCCCTTCTTTCTGGTCTTGGTTTGCCCATCTGTAAAATGGAAATTCATGTTTTCATCTCATTAAGTCGTCTTAAGACTAAACGGGTCAGCAGATGTGGGTATTGCTCCAACATGAAAAATTGTTTCCAACCGCTCCTAACTCCTACTCCTACTCCAAAATTCACTGTGAATTTTTCATCTTCAGTGCAGGCCCAGGATAGCCTTTGGCTCTTCACTCTCCTCTACCCTCCACTCTCCCAGCTCCAACCCTGACCCCATGGGAGAGTTTGTGTCTGGCTCTGTCTCCCCCTCCGCCAGGCTGGTGAAGGGTCCTTCCTGGAGTTCCAAAATTGAACTCAGCCTTGGGGGCCCCAGAACCAGAGAGGCATGGGGCACAGCAGGAATGTTGCTGAAGAAACGGAGAGGAAGGGAAGGGTCAGGGAAGGGACGTGGCAATGGGGAGCCAGAGAAGGTGCAGGAGGGAGGGAGTGCACTCGGCAGAGACCTCGGTGGGACAGATGGAGAGAGGGAGCCGGGAGGAGGTGGGCAGAGCCAGATGGACGGGCAGGGGCGACAGGAGGGGTGGGGTGTGGGGAGACCCAGATCCCCGCCTGGCACGCCTCCTCCCGGCTCGGGCGGGCAGCGCGGGCAGGGCCCGCCTGGGCGTCGGGCGCAGGGCGCGCGGCGCGGCGGGGCGAGCGTGCAGTGCGGCGGGTGCGCGCCTGTGCGCCGGGGCGGCCGGGCGGGCGGGCGGCGGCACGTGGATGCCATGCCTGGCGAGAACAGCTTCTCGCAAGGCCGGTGGGTAAAGGCGGGCGCCGGGTGCGCGGTGGGGGGACTGCCACGCCGCGGAGCTCGGCTTTGAGTGGAGCCCTGGGAGGGGGAGGGGGCTACTCAGCTGGCTTCTCTGGACCAGACCAGGACCCCCTCTCCCCGGAGCTGACCCAGCGAGGGGGAAGGGACCTCCCATCCCAGTAGGAGGCAGAAGGTCCCAGGCTCTGTGGCGGGTGGGGGAGATGCGGAGCAGCTATGCCAGCCCCCCAACCCCAGAACAAGGTGGGGGTGGGAGGGTTCGGTGATGGGGGCAGCTTCTCTCCCCGCGGCCACCCCTCCCTCCCTCCCTCGTCCATCTCCAGAAGATTATATTTAAATATCTCTTTTGTGCAAGGCAGGAGCTGGGCTCGCCCCTAAGAGGCGGTTTCCATGGCAACAACAATTGCCAGCTTCCGTGTGGTGAATCAGCGTTGCCATGGCAACCCCATCCTCATCTGCCCAAGGTGCTGGGAGGGGGGAGGAGGTGAGGGCCAACGGAGGTGGGGTGGGAGGGGTGGGGGAGCAGGAGTCTGGAGCTCCTGCAGGTGCCCCCCCATCTCTCTCTACCTCCCCTGGCACCCCCCTCCCAGCCCAGAAGCTGGTCCCATCTGGTTGAAACCATCTCCCTTCCTGCCTCCAGCCTAGCAGGGTGTGGTACCCAGGTGGAAAGGGCCCTGGTGTGTATGCATGGGGGACGTGGGGTGGGAAGGGGGTCCAGCCAACTGGGTGGGGGAAGAGCATGGAAGGTTTCCTCTCCCAGGTGGTCAGGGTCCCTCTGAGGGTGCAGCTGGGTGGCAGGAAGGTTGGGCTGGGAGGATTGGGGGTACAGGATCAGGGAGGCAGGGGCCTCTCGGGTTCTGGGGCCCCAAAGGCCAAGTTCAAATTGAGGAAAGCATATGTGCCCTGAACATACACTCAGAAAGGAGGGTGTCAGAATGGGAGAGGGTCTTACAGAGGGGAGGGGACCCAGAGATGAGGAAAGGCCTCTGAAGCAGGAGGGGCTCAGAGAGAAGAGGGAAGCTGGGGGCGGGTGGGAGGTGGAAATCCAGAGGGGTCTCTGAGGAAGGGAGTGCAAAATGAGGGGTTGCTCAGAGTGGAAGAGTAGGCATGAAGCTGGGATGGATCTTAGAGAAGGGGTCAGATCACAAGGGACAGAGCTTAGTGGGGAGACTTTGGGGGTCCAAAGATGGGGAGGAGGCCTTATGTATGGGAGTGGGTGGACAGATCACTGAATCTGGAGGCCAGAAACTCTCACCCACTCACCATGACCTTACACTAATAACTTCTCTCTTAGGCAAATAACAGAAATCTCAATGTTGACATCTGTAGAATGGGGTGAAAATTGCACCTCTCGGCCGGGCGCAGTGGCTCAAGCCTGTAATCCCAGCACTTTGGGAGGCCGAGACGGGCGGATCACGAGGTCAGGAGATCGAGACCATCCTGGCAAACATGGTGAAACCCCGTCTCTACTAAAAAATACAAAAAACTAGCCGGGCGAGGTGGCGGGCGCCTGTAGTCCCAGCTACTCGGGAGGCTGAGGCAGGAGAATGGCGTAAACCCGGGGGGCGGAGCTTGCAGTGAGCTGAGATCCGGCCACTGCACTCCAGCCCGGGCGACAGAGCGAGACTCCGTCTCAAAAAAAAAAAAAAAAAAAAAAAAGAAAATTGCACCTCTCTCTGAAACTTGTTGGGCAGCTATGCTGTGATTAGAAAACCTGGCATTTGGCCAGGCACGGTGGCTCACCCCTGTAATCCCAGCACTTTGGGAGACTCAGGCGGGCAGATCACGAAGTCAGTAGATCAAGACCATCCTGGTCAACATGATGAAACCCCATCTCTACTAAAAATAAAAAAAAATAAAAATAAAAAAAAAATAGCTGGGCGTGGCGGCACGTGCCTGTAGTCCCAGCTACTCGGGAGACTGAGGCGGGAGAATTGCTTGAACCCGGAAGGCGGAGGCTGCAGTGAGCCAAGATCGTGTCACTGCACTCCAGCCTGGCGACAGAGTGAGATTCCATATCAAAAAAAAAAGAAAAAAAGAAAGGAAAGGAAAACCTGGCACTTTTTCAAGTGCATTCTCTGCTGAAACTCAAAAGTCAGATGATTAGACAGAGCACTTTGGAACCCATAGGGCTCAGGGGATGTGGGGATCTATTTCAAGTTTTTCTGACTTGGAAGAAGATCTGAGAGTAGCACTCATTCCCATTCCAGACGCCTTTCTCTGTTAGTGGAAGTTGGCTACTTCCTTCTGGCCCGTTCTGTTCAGCAGGTTTCTCCAGTTCCTCCATGTGTCCTTCCCCATGTGGGGAGATGCTGTAGTCCCCTGTCTGGAGAGAGACAGAGCAAGACATAGACACTTCCAGCCTGAGGGATAGGGAGGAAGGAGCCCAAAAGAGTGGGAAGAGTCCCTGCATGGGGGCTTTTAAGATGGGTTTTGAAGGTTGAATAGGAGTTTGCCACAGATATCAGGTTGGGAGAAGGATTGTGTCCCAGGACCAGTGGAGATGCAAATGCCTCCCCAACTCTCACATCCCTAGAGCCTGTTCTCAAATATCCAAAATAGCTCATACCTAGGACTTGGTATGTTGTGAGAGTTGGTGCAAGGGAGAATTTTTTGTTTCATTAAATATCATTTTCAATGCCTGGGGTGTGGGACAAAAGTGTCTAGAACAATGAATCCAGACGGCAGGCTGGTCCACTCAGGTATGTCCCCACCCAAAGCTCCTGGGAGATGTGGCTAAATGTAGCTACTTTGGTGTATCAGTCAGCACTGCTGAGTAACAAACTACTCCAGTCTTTGTATTTGTTCTTGATTCTGCAAAGCTTGGTCTGGGCTCAGCTCGATGGTTCTTCTGTTGGTTCTCTTGGGGTCACTCAAGCAGCTGCAGTCAGCTGAGACTTGACTGGGCTTAGCTGGGTCAGGGTGGCCTCACTCCCATGTGCTGACTGTCAGAGAGGCCTCTGTCTCCATGAGGCCCCTCCTCCTCCTGGGCTTATCCACCTGGCAGTCTCAGGGTTCCAAGAGTGGAAGCTACAAGGTCTCTTGAGGCCTAGGCTCAGAACTCCCACAACTTAACTTCCACCACATTCTATGGGTCACAGCCAGTCACTTGGCCAAGTTCAGGTGCCAGGAGTGGGAAAATAGACTCTAGTTTTTAATGGTAGGAACTGCAAAGTCACATCATATAAAGGGACCGGAGGAACTGGGCCTATCACATTTGGGGAAGCAAGGAGGCTTCCTGGAGGAAGGAATATTGTTGGATTTTGAGGGCTAAGAGTTCGTCACACAATTTCTGCTGTAGGCGGGACCAAGTGTCATTTGCTTTGACTGGGGTGTTAGTGGGGTGGTGGGGTGCTGAGGGCTGGTGGTGGGAGGTGGGCAGGGCTGTCCCACAGAGCTCAGGCAAAACCCCCGCCCACCACACCCCCACTCCTGAGCTTGACTTTCCCCTTCCCCCTCTCTCTGCAGATGGCGCGGCCAATCCAGGTGAAGCCTGCGGACAGCGAAAGCCGTGGAGGTAGTTGTCATCTCTCCGTGGCTGCCAGGCTGGGGGTTGGCGGAGGAATGGGAGAAGAAGGAAAATCTCTTCCTTCCTCTCTCCCCCAAAGGGGCAGTGGCCGAGGCCTGTGGATCTGGGACTGGTCTTCCTGCCCCAAAGCATGCAGTAGTCGCATGCCTGCTCACACACCCCTTGGTGGGGGGAGAGGCAGGTTCCAGAAAGCAGAAGGGGCTATGTCCATAGTTCCCAAGGGAGGATGCAGGGTCTAGCCAGGTCCAGCTGCCTTCCCCTGAGTTACAAATACCCCACTCCCTCCAGGGTACAATAATTGGGGGGCTTCAGACACACACGATGGGGGCCTGAAGGGCTGTGGATTGCTCTCTGGGGTCTCTGTGTGCAAATGTGTTTGTGTGTTTGTGTGTGCATGCTTAAATGTGTGTGTATGAGTATGCACACCTGGCATGCCTGTGTGCAGATGTGTGTGAGTACGTGCACTTGTGCATTTGTGTTTCTGCAGCTGGTGCACATAAGCACACCTGTGTGGTGTGTGGTGGGGATGCCTTCCTGCCTGTGTGCATGTGCGTGTGCCCAGCCGGTGCATGGGTGTGTTTGCACGTATGTGCGTGACTGTTCTAGGCTGGGCATGTGGGCAGACATGCAGGCTGGGGCCAGTGGTGTCTGTGTGGGGCTGGACTTTGGTGTCAGGGCGTGCCCATGGCAGGGGCATACTCGGTTGTTCCCATGGGACCCAAAGCTAGTCATTCTTGGAAATTTGTATATTTCCTCTCCATCTCAAGCAGAGACTGAAAGAGGGCAGCCAGACTTAGTTGAGTGGAGGTGTGGGGCAGGAGTGTTAGGACGCCTAGGTATATGTAGGAGCCCAGTAAAGGCCCTCTGGGATGGGAGCCTCTTTCACACTCTCCACCCTGGCTGCCAGTGTGGGACAGGAAGTAGCGAGGTGGGGTCTGTATGTCTCCATCTTTGTCTCTATTTCTCTGTCTCTCTCTCTCTCTCCCTCTGTATCTCTTTCTCCTTTGTATCTTCTCTGTCTCTTCATCCCTCTTATTCTCTCTCCGTCTCACACAGTCTCTCTTGTGTGTGCTCTCTCTGATCTGTCCCTCTCTCTCCCTGATTCTCAGTCTCTCTGCTGCTTTCTCTCTCTCCCTCCCAACCCTATGAGTGACAGCTGCCGAGAGCAGTTTCCATAGTAACCCAGCTCACCGTCCCTGGGAGATGAAGCCACCGCGTTCCCCATTACCAGGAAGCATGCAATTACCCAAGAGGGCAGAGCTCATACAGAAGAGGCTGGCCCAGCCCAGCCCCACCCGTCAGGGGGTCCAGCCTGCCAAGGCCCCTGGTCCTATGAGCACGTGAACCCTCCCTCTATTCCACAGATGGTGACTGCCTGGCCCCTCTTGATCCCGACAAAGTTGGGCAGGGGCCTCTGCTGGGCACCATGAAAGTGCGGGGATCATCAGTGCCCACCTCCGCCTGGCAGGTCCGGGGGGCAGACAGAAAGACAGACGGGACCCAGGCCCGGTGAGGCAGCTCCTAGTCCTAGTACTCGGTGCGGGCTCTCTGAGTGCACCAGAGGGAAAGGTCATCTCCGCTTGGAGGGGGAGCAGTGGAGCAGAGACCCCAGAAGACTGCAGGGAGGGCATTTCAGGCGGGGGCGCCGCCTGGGCAAACGCCCCGAGATGGGACCGTGCAGGGCCCGTGGGAGGGTGGAGAGATCCGGGGCAGGGAAAGGGCGCGGCTGGGTCCTCCCTCGCACGCGCAGAACCGGAGCCGGCAGGGCCCGGGCGCCGCGTCTTCCTGCCCTGCCGCCTCCACTCTGCTGGAGGGAGGGAGGAATCCCGGAGGCCCTCCCGGAGGCCGGGGACTCGGCTGAGGTGGGTGTCGCCGCCCACAGGGGACCGGAAGCTGTTCGTGGGGATGCTGAACAAGCAGCAGTCGGAGGAGGACGTGCTGCGGCTGTTCCAGCCCTTCGGGGTCATTGACGAGTGCACCGTGCTCCGGGGGCCTGACGGCAGCAGCAAAGGTGACTGGCGGGTGCTGGGTCGTGACTGCGAGAGGGGCGGGGCTAGATCTGGGGGCGGGGCCTGTGGGGAGGGTGGGGCCTGCAGCATGGGGAGGAGCTGGCTCTGGGGCGGCACCCTGGGGAGGGGCGGGACTTCTCCAGGGGTGGAGTCTGTGGGTGAGGCTGCAGGGGCGGGGCCTTGGAGGGGGGAGGAATTGTAGGGGCGGGATCTGGGGAGGGGGTGGGGCTGCAGGGTGGGGAGGAGCTGGCTCTGAGGATGTAGCCCTGGAGAGGCCCGAGGCTTCTCCAGAGGTGAAGTCTGTGGGTGAGGCTGCAAGGGTGGGGTCTTGGGTAGGGGAGGGGCCATAGGGAGGGGTAAAATACCTAAGGTTAGGAAGGACTGGCTCCACGGGGAGGGGCCCTGTGAAGGGTCGGGGCTGAGCATGTAGGGGGTGGGGCTGGCCAGGTGGGGCGGGGCCAGGCCCATAGGAGGCTGGGGCTCGTGGGGAGGGGCTGGTTCACAGGGGTGGTGTGGAGCACAGACTGGTCCCGCTTGATCCTACCTGCATGCTCTCTCTGCATGCTGGCTCTGGGGACTGGCCCTGAAGAGGGGCGGGGCTGCGGTGGGGTAGGCGGAGATGCATAGGCGTGGCCTTGGGATGGGGCGGGGTCTTGGGGAAGGGCAAGACTTCTCCAGGGGCTGCCTGTGAGTAGGCATGCAGGGGCGTGGCCTTGTGTTGGGGCGGGGTCTGGGGGAGGGGCGGGGCTTCTCCCCGGACAGAGTTACCTATGCCCTGTGGTCTCAATTCCTCCACCTGACTGTTCGTAGAACTGTTTCCTCCTGGTTCTGTCTATATAATTTGTCCATATGACTGACTGGTGGTCTCTGGTTGTGTCTGCCTGTCTGGCTATCTTCCTGCCTGAGAGTCCAAATGATGGTGTCTGTCGGTCTCTGTCCACAGAGCTCATCATCTGGGACCGACTCCACTCTGGTCTTTCTTACCTCACTAGAACTGAATGTGTCCGATGGTTTCAGGCCATTGCCTGGTTCTTCATTTTTAAAACTGAGGGCTGGGCGCTGTGGCTCACGCTTGTAATCCCAGCACTTTGGGAGGCTGAGGTGGGTGGATCACGAGGTCAGGAGTTCAAGACCAGCCTGGCCAAGATGGTGAAACCCGTCTCTACAAAAAATACAAAACTTAGCTGGGCGGTGGCAGGCGCCTGTAATCCCAGTTACTCGGGAGGCTGAGGCACAGAACTGCTTGAACCCGGGAGGCAGAGGTTACAGTGAGCTGAGATCACACCACTGCACTCTGGCCTGGGCGATGGAGCGAGACTCCAACTCAAAAAAAAAAAAATTGAGATGTCTTTCACATCCCACCATATTCACCCTTTTTAAAATGTACAATGAAGTGCTTTTTTTTTCTATTCATAAAGCCGTGTAACCATCACCACAATGTAATTCCAGAACATTCCACCCCTCCCCCCACAATATGGCTGGCCCTTCCATAGTACTCTACCAGTCCGGAGCCAGGTCCAGTGGTCTCTGTCTGTTCTATGGACTTTGTCCGTGGGACCGTGTTTGCATTCGCTTGTGTCTGGCGGTCTCTGTATGTGACTGTCTGTCTGCATTAGCCTGTGTCTGGTGGTCTCTGGTGGTGGTCTGTCTGCTTGTGTGGCTCTGTCTGGGTCCGCTCAGGTCTGGCGGTTGATAATTTCCATCTGTCTGGCTGTGGTCAGAAGGGTCTGTCTGGACCTGCACGTATCTCTGTGGACTCTGCCCATAGGACAGTGTGTCCAGTGGTCTGTCAGTTTAACTCCGCATATCTGATCGTAATTATCTGGATCTTGGTCCCTGTCATTTGTTCTGATGGATGGGACCTCCTCCCTGATGGTTCCCAGCCTTGCACCGTCCATCTGGTTGTGTGCTTCACAAACTCTGTGACTGACTGTCTAATCCGCTACCTGGATGGCTGACTGACTTTCTGCTGGACTGAATGAAGAAATGGCGGGCTGGCTGGCTGTGTGGGTGACCGGCTCTTTGTCTAACTCTGTGGCTGGCTGGCTGTGCGATTCTCCTCCATTCTGACCCTTGATCTGGCTGATTGTCCAGCTGTCCGTCTGAGCAAATGGCTGGCTGTCTCTCTGTTATCAACTCTCTCTGTCTGCATGTGTCTGACACTGGCCATGTAGGTCTCTCTGTCCCCTCTCCTGTGGCCCCCGCTCAGCCAGTCTCGTGACCCCATCACCCTCTTCTTCTCTTGGAGCAGGCTGTGCTTTCGTGAAGTTCTCCTCCCACACAGAGGCGCAGGCGGCCATCCACGCCTTGCATGGGAGCCAGACCATGCCGGTGAGTTGGAGCTACCCTTGGCCGTGGGGGTGGGCGTGGGAAAGGGGTGAGGGGACAGGGATGAAACAGGCCATATTCCTACCATTGCTGTCACCCAGTAGCCCCGGCTGTCCTTCAGAGGGGGCACAGGTGGAGAAAGAGGCACAGTCCCCGGCTGTGGTCCCTGGAGTGGGTATATGCGTGTGAGTGTGTGCAGATGTGGAGGTGAGTATGCAAGCGAAGTGTATCCAAGCACACACACGGATGTATTACAAGTGTATACGTGTTGGTGAGTGTTTGGGTGCATGTTTGGGTGTGAGTGTGCCTGAGAAGGCATGCATGTGTGTGTGTGTGAGTGTGTGTGTGACTGTGTCATTACTACTAGGTGAGTGTTATGTGAGTGCTGTGTGCACGGAGGTTGTGTGTAAATATGTACGGAGAAGTGTGCCATTGTGTGCTAGTGTAGAGATACTGGTGCATGTGCATGTGTGTATGTGAGTACACGTGTGTGTTTCTGTGTGTGTGAGCATGTGTGTATGCCTGGGCCATGGGGGAGGAAGCACATGTGTGTGCATCTGCAGGTGCATTTGCGGGCAGGTGTGTGTGTGTGTGTGCGCCTGAGTGTGAGTCAGTATTGTGGGTGATTGTGTACGTGTGTAAGTGTATGCAGGTCTGTTTAAGTATAGGTTGTGAGTGTGTGAGTGTGTATATGTGTGCATGTAAGGATGTCCTAGAGGGGATGACACCTGGGTTGGATTTGCTGAGGCCAGGAGAGGCCCTGACAAGAAGAAAGGCTGGGAGGTAGCAACAGGTAGCCCAGAGGAGCCATAGAAGATGGGGCCGCAGTGTGAGGATGAAAAGCCTGGACTTCCTCCTACGGCAGTGGGGAGTCACAGATGGTTTAGAGCAGGAGAGGAGATGGGCCAGGTCGGTTGCAGATATCCCTTTGGAGCCAATGTAGAGGATGGGCAGGGTGCAAGACTGGAGGCTGGGAGGCCAGGGAGGCGGCTAGGCCAAGGTCCAGCTGAGGGAGGAGGAGGCCTGAGCTGGGGCCTAGTGGACACGGAGGAGGGCTGATCAGAAAACAGACAGTAGGGTGAGAATGGATGGGGGGCATGTCGACTCAATGGTTGAGGGAGGGATGGGGATTGGGGACAGGTCCCATCGTCCCTGCATACACATCTCCAAATCTGCTACAAGGAAGATAAGGCCTGAGAGGAACAAGCCTCCTCCCTCAGCTCTCAAAACCCAGGGGAGGGGCTTAGCTCAGCACAAGGGCAAGTGTTCCCAAGCTCAGAGATGTCCCAGGACAGGGCTGGTAGGCGTCTGGAGGAGTAAGTTCTCCATCAAAGGGGGCATGTCAGCGAAGACAGGGAGGCTACAGGGTGCATCCTGCTGGGAGCCAGCTCATCAGGGAGGAGCTGGTCGAAGGGGAAAATATTTTCCTTCTTGAGCCCGAAAGTTGGGGTGTGAGCTGGTTTGTGGGGGGTGGGAATGGCCTCCTGAGCCCCTGACCCCAGGCCTCTCTCTCTCTTTTTTTTTTTTTTTTTTTGAGATGGAGTCTCGCTTTGTCACCCAGGTTGGAGTGCAGTGGTGCGATCTTGGCTCACTGAAACCTCCACCTCCTGGGTTCAAGTGATTCTCCTGCCTCAGCCTCCTAAGTAGCTGCAATTACAGCCATGTGCCACCACGCCCGGCTAATTTTTGTATTTGTAGTAGAGACAGGGTTTCACCATGTTGGTCAGGCTGGTCTCAAACTCCTGACCTCAGGTGATCTGCCCACCTTGGCCTCCCAAAGTGCTGGGATTACAGGCATGAGCCACCGTGCCCGGCCACTGGGCTTCTCTTGACACTGATAACAGGACCTGTTGCAGCGTCCTGACTGCACAGACAGATACTCCCTTGCTCACTGCTGCTTCGACTGCCTAGGGCTGCCTGTTGGTGGATTTCAGCCCAGCACTGTGGCACCTGGACAGCCATGGGGTGGGACAGCAGTCACATGGGTTTCTATCTGTGCTTCAGCAAAGCAGGGCCCCCTGTCCCCACCAGTGGCTACTGTCCGCTGTCCACTGGGTGGATGGGCTACAGGTTCATCTGCCTGCACAGGGCACAAAAATCCGGGGCTGGGGCCTCCAAATCTGCTACAAGGAAGATAAGGTCTCTATTCATAAAGCCGTGTAACCATCACCACAATGTAATTCCAGAACATTCCACCCCTCCCCCCACAATATGGCTGGCCCTTCCATAGTACTCTACCAGTCCGGAGCCAGGTCCAGTGGTCTCTGTCGCGTCTGTAATCCCAGCTACTCGAGAGGCTGAGGCAGGAGAATCACTTGAACCTGGGAGGCGGAGGTTGCAGTGAGCAGAGATTGCGTCATTGCACTCCAGCCTGGGCAACAAGAGCGAAACTCTGTCTCAAAAAAAAAAAAAAAAAAAAAAAAAAATCCGGGGCTGAGCTCCCTTGAACTCCCTGCTAGCTCCGGGGAACGGGGAACAGAGTCAGGATCATCTACTTATCCTGCGTCGTTCCTCTCGTGTGGCTGGAGTCTCACCTGTTCTCAGGTGTGGGTGAGAGTTGGAGGGTCACCCGTCTGTGCCCCAGTTGTTCCTCTCTGGAGATTGGAGTTTCAGGTGTGGAGTGACAATGGCAGGTTCGTCCACCTGAGCCCGCTGTTTTCCTTCGGAAACTGGTTTCTCGCCTGTTCTCAGGTGAGCTGAAGTTATAGGTGTCTCCATCTGTGCCTCCCTGTTCTTCTCCAGCGGCGGGATTCTCCATCTGTTTTGACCGTGTGGCTGACAGTCAGGGCCCCCACCTGTGCCCCATCACAGCCCCCTAGACCTGAGCGCTGCACCTGTGCAGATGCTGCTGGGTCCAGGATGCTGATCTCCACGCGGTCCTCACTGTGGCCCTGGCTCCTGGGACTGGGGGCCCGTGGACATGGCCGACAGCCACTGGCATTATGCCCCTCACCCAGGGGGCCTGAGCTAACGTGAATCCAGGGACCCCAGAGTCCTGGCTACCTCCCAGCCCGTTTCCCTCCCTGCTCGCCGTTGCCCCTGCAGGGAGCCTCCTCCAGCCTGGTGGTCAAGTTCGCCGACACGGACAAGGAGCGGACGCTCAGACGCATGCAGCAGATGGTGGGCCAGCTGGGCATCCTGACGCCGTCCCTCACACTGCCCTTCAGCCCCTACAGTGCCTACGCCCAGGCTGTGAGTGATCCAGGGGCGGCTTTGGGGGTCCGGCTCCGTCTCTCTCCATCTCCGTCTACTCCCTGTCGGGGGCTCCTGCTTCTTGGCCCGTCTTCCGCCTCTCCCTCCATCTCCCTGACTCAGGGTCCTCTCCTGGCGTGGCTGAACCCCAACTCCAAATTGAGACTAAACTCAGACCGAGCTCCTGAACCCAGAAGACTGAGCCCTAAATCTCACATTAACACCCAGTCTTGGACCGAGCCCCAGAACCTGGCTATGCCCCACATCTAAATTAGGCCCAATTCTGGCTGAACCTCCAAATCCAGACCGACCCCAAATTGAGACCTGACCTGACCGAGCTCCACCCTGGCTGAGACCTGATCCCAAGTTGAGCCCCAGCTCCTGACTGAACCCTGATCCCAGGCTGAGCCTCAGTTTCTAACTAAACCCTCATCCTAGATGGAACCTTGATCTCAGTCTGAGCCTCACTTCCTAACAGCCTTGATCCTAGACTGAGCCTTGGTCCCAGGCTGAGCCTCACTTCCTAACTGAGCCCGGATCCTAGACTGAGCCTTGATCCCAGGCTGAGCCCCAACTCCTGACTAGATTGAGCCCTGATCTCAGCCTGACCCTCACTTCCTAACTGATCCCTGCTCCCAGGCTGAGCCTTGATCCCAGGTTGAGCTCCAATTCTGATCTCAGCCTGAGCCAAGATACCCAGCCTGACCTCCTCACTAGTAACTGGGGGACCAAGCCTCCACTCATAAGCCATGATCTCGGGGGAGATGTCACCCCAACTATGACATCTCTTCACCTCCAGCTCATGCAACAGCAGACAACAGTCCTGTCCACCTCGGGCAGCTACCTGAGTCCCGGCGTGGCCTTCTCACCCTGTCACATCCAGCAGATAGGCGCCGTCAGCCTCAATGGGCTGCCTGCCACACCCATCGCTCCTGCCTCTGGTGAGCTTCCTCCAGGCGCCCAAGGATAGGTGGGTTGGGCCAGAGCCAGACTGGCCTCCCCATGACCCTCTTCCACTCTGCAGGGCTGCACTCACCCCCGCTGCTGGGCACCACCGCCGTGCCTGGCCTCGTGGCTCCCATCACCAATGGCTTTGCAGGTGTCGTGCCCTTTCCAGGTGGGCATCCCGCCCTGGAAACCGTCTATGCCAATGGCCTTGTGCCCTACCCAGGTAACTTGGGGTGGTCCTCTGGGGTCTAGGAGAGTGGCGGGGAGTAGAGATGGTGTTTCCGGAACAAGTATGAGTACCTACGTCACAGTGCCCAGGGAACAGAAGGGCAGGAAAAAGGGTGTCTTGGCTGAGCAGATAAGAGCTGTGAACACAGGAAGGGAGGCCGTGGCAGGGTAGCAACACATTAAAATGGTGCATCTGGATGTTTCTGGGCTTAAATTCCAGTTCAGTGACCCTGGATGGGCTCTTTATCTCCCTGAGCCTCAGCTTGCTTATCTGGGAAATGGGGCGGATAACATCAGTAGCCTCATGAGGTTGCATTGACAATTTAATCCGTGTGCAAAAGGCTTCACACAGGGTCTCACTCCGTCACCCAGGCTGCAGTACGGTCTCACAATCTTGGCTGACTGTAACCTCCGCTTCCCAGGTTCAAGTGATTCTCCTGCCTCAGCCTCCCAAGTAACTGGGATTATAGGCGCGTGCCACCACACCTGGCTAATTTTTGTATTTTTAATAGAGACGGGTTTTAACCACGTTGGCCTGGCTGGTCTCGAACTCCTGACCTCAGGTGATCCACCCACTGCTCCCAGCCCATACATCTTAATTATTCATCTGTATTATTTGGGGAGATATCAATGCCTGGATTCATTCATTTATTCATTCAATGCAGAATGAATGACCCACTTATTTGGGCTGCACCTGCTTTCATGAGGCACAGGTCCTTCCTTTCTCTATGCTACACATACAATTTTAGGGCAGACATCTTCCAACATCTAATTTATGTGAAGTAAGTTATCTGTCTTTCCACCATGTAGGAGAATTTGTTTCTAACTTTTTATTTTTAAATTATTTTTATTTATTTAGTTTTAAAGACAGTGTCTCACTATGTCATTCAGGCTGGAGTGCAGTGGCGTCATCACAGCTCACTGCAGCCTCCATCTCCGGGACTTAAGCAACCCTCCCACCTCAGCCTTCCCTGTAGCTGGGACTACAAGCATGCACCATCACACTCGGCTAATTTTTAAATTTTTGTACCGACTGGATCTTGCTATGTTGCCCCGGCAGGTCTCAAATTCCTGGGCTCAAGCAATCCACCCACCTTGGCCTCCCAAAGTGCTGGGATTACAAGTGTGAGCCACTGCTACTGGCCTTAACATTTTATTTTGAAATGATTGGAGGTTCACAGGGAGTTACCAAAATACCACAGTGCAGTCCCAGGTACCCTTGACACAGCTTCCCCGATGCCAACAGCTTATCTAATCACAGGACACTGTCAAATCCAGGAAACTAACACTGGCGCCATACAATTAATTCAACTCCAGACCATATTCAAATTCACCATTTATTTATTTAGCGACAGAGTCTCACACTGTCGCCCAGGCTGGAGTGCAGTGGTGTAATCAAAGCTCACTGCAGCTTTGAACTCTCAAACTCCTGGGCTGAAGTGATCCTCTCACCTCTCACCTCAGCCTCCCAAGTCACTGGGACTACATACAGGCATGTAACATTATGTTTGGCTAATTTTTGATTTTTTTTTTTTTTTTTTGAGACGGAGTCTTGCTCTGTTGCCCAGGCTGGAGTGTAGTGGGCTGATCTCCGCTCACTGCAAGCTCCGCCTCTGGGTTCATGCCATTCTCCTGCCTCAGCCTCCCGCGTAGCTGGGACTACAGGTGCCCGCCACCACGCCCGGCTAATTTTTTGTATTTTTAGTGGAGACGGGTTTCACCGTGTTAGCCAGGATGGTCTCGATCTCCTGACCTCATGATCCGCCTGCCTCGGCCTCCCAAAGTGCTGGGATTACAGCCATGAGACACGGTGCCTGGCCTTGATTTTTTTTTTTTTTTTAGAAATGAGGGTCTTGCTATGTTGCCCAGGCTAGTCTCAAACTCCTGGGTTCAGGCGATCCTCCTGCCTCGGCCTCCCAAAGTGTTGGGATCACAAGCCTGAGCCACCGCACCCAGCTGATTTCACGACTTTTTGCATGCACTCTGTGCTCGTGTATGTGTGTGTGTGCAGGGGTGGTTAATTGCCATTTTGTCACAGATACAGACTTGTGTATCTCCCACAATGAAGATACAGAACTGCTTCTTGCCCGCGAAGTGAACTCCTTCCTGCTACGCCTTTGGAGTCACAGTCACCTCCACTATCCCCTGCCCTCTAGCACACTGTCCATTCGAGCAGAATTTTTTGGTTGAATTTTTCCCCAGAATCATCAACTTTGGTTGATGCCTGGACAACCTCTTCCCTCCCCTTACCCCTTTCCCTAGCGGTAGCAGGAAGGCTACAGCTGGATGGGGGAGCCAAGGGTGTCTGGTGAGCAGACTCATGTGGAGAGGGAGACGGGGCGGGGGATGGGGGCAGGTGGTGATCTGAGGTGGAGGCTGAAGTCCTGGAGAATCCAGGGAGTAGAGAGGAGTTGAAGGGTCCTCTTGGGAGGCAAAGGGGTCGGGACGGGGAGAGGGAGATGGGGGCGATGGTGAACTCTCTCTGGAGTCCGAGAAACCCAGATTCCAGTTCAGCTTCTGCCATTTGCTCTCTGAGTGGCCCTGTGCAAGTGGCTTCACCTTCCTCGGCCTCAGCTTCCTGGTCCTACAGAGGGTTTAGCACTGAGGTGAAGCTGGGCGGGGTGTTTGTTGCTGTCCTTCCGGCTCCTAAGGATCGGGGGTGGATGGAAGACTTCTGCTGCCCCCGCCCTACTCAGCCCATCTGTCTGCCCGCAGCTCAGAGCCCGACTGTGGCCGAGACACTGCATCCTGCCTTCTCCGGAGTCCAGCAGTACACAGGTAGGAGGCAGCCCGCGTGCCCGCTCGGTGGGCCCTGGCCCCGCCCCCGCCTAGGGCCCCGCCCCCAGGGCCCGCCCCGGACTTGTCGTTCTTCTGTGCCTAGCCACGCCTCCTACGTCTGGCCCCGCCCCTCAGGGCCCACCCTTGTCCTGTATTCAACCCCTGGCCCTGTTACTGGTCTCACCCCACCACCACCTATACCCGCAAACAGGACCTTCCCTTGTCCTTTAAGGACAGCGCTTACCCATGGCCTCACCCTCTCATGTTGTGTTGGGGAGAGGGGGTTCCTCTTGACCACTTCTCTGCTTCTGACCCAACCCCAGCTCTCGGCCCTGCCCCTTATCCTCCCTTCTGCAGCTCCTAGCCCCGCCCCTCACGTCCTGTCTTTACTCTGACCACGCCTCTCTGCTAAAGCCCCGCCCCTACCTCTGGCTCTGCTTCCTAAGGCCTGGCTGTGATCCCGCCCACTGCTGCGGCCCCGCCTCTCAATTCATGGTCCTGCCCACATAGCCCTCCATTAAGTCATGGCCCCGCCCCACTCATGCCCTTCGTCCCGGTCTTGGCCTTGACCTCCACTGTGGCTCGCCCGCTTCAAGCAATGGTCCCACCCTCTCTGGACTGTCCTGTAGCCTTGGCCCCGCCCTCTGCTGTGGCCCAACCCCTGTACCCCTCCCCTCATGCCATAGGGTCCGCCCCCACCCCGCCGCGTCTCGGTAATGGCCCTGCCCTCCACCATGGCCCCGCCTCTCAGACAATAGCCCCGCCCCATTTCATCTGTGTTCTTGGCCCCGCCCTCTGACTGGCCCCGCCCCCAAACCCTCCCCACAAAGGCCATGATCACACCCACTCCTGCCTTGGCCCCACCCTCTCTTGTGGCCCTGCCCCCTCCCCGCCCAGCCGCCCAGGCCGCCCACGTGGCCTCACGCCCCTCCTCGCCCTATGTCTCGCTCCGGTCTCCGCAGCCATGTACCCCACCGCGGCCATCACGCCCATCGCGCACAGCGTCCCCCAGCCGCCGCCCCTCCTGCAGCAGCAGCAGCGAGAAGGTGAGGCGGCCGCGACCTCCCCTGGGCGCCAGCCCCGCCCTCTGCCCGCCCCGTCCACCTGCAGGCTCCGTGCCTGGCCCGGGCCTCTGGGACCCGCGGGGCTGAGAGTGCGGCCTGGGGGCTGGACAGGCTAGAGTTGAGTCCCGTTGCAGCCGCTGACCCCTGGGAATCTCCCTCTCTCTTTCCTCCTCCGAAAAGAGAACCATGCTCGCCCCGACCCCGTAGGAATAGCAGTGACTTCCTACCAGCCCTCTCCAGAACCAAGAGTGATTCTCTGGATGTTTTGGAAAGGAAACCCTTTTTGAGGCTGGGGCATGGCACGATGAGGTATCTCAGGTAATGAGGCCTCCCCAGTAAAGCCCAGGCTGTCGAAGGAGGCAGGGATTCGATTCTGGAGTGACAATCAGGGTTCAAATCCGTACAGTTCTTGCCATGTGCGGTAGCTCCCGCCTGTAATTACATAGCGTCTTGGGGGCCAAGGTGGGAGGATCACTTGAGCCCAGGAGTCCAAGACCATCCTAGCTTAGCAAGAACCCATGTCTACAAAAAAATAAAAAATTGGCCAGGTGTAGTGGTGTGCACCTATAGTCCCAGCTACTCAGGAGGCTGGGGCAGAAGGATCACTGAGCCCAGGAGGTCAAGGCTGCAGTGAGCCACTATCTCCCCACTGGACTCCAGTCTGGGTGAGAGAGCAAGACTCCATCCCAAAAAACAAAACAAAACAAAAAACAACAACGGCCGGGCGCGGTGGCTTGGGCCTGTACTCCCAGCACTTTGGGAGGCCAAGGCAGGTGGATCACAAGGTCAGGATATCAAGACCATTCTGGCTGGCCTGGGGAAACCCCATTTCTACTAAAAAATAGAAAAAATTAGCCGGGCATGGTGGCAGGTGCCTGTGGTCCCAGCTGCTCGGGAGGCTGAGGCAAGAGAATGGTTCGAACCAGGAGGCGGAGTTTCCAGTGAGCTGAGATTGCACCACTGCACTCCAGCCTGGGCAACAGAGCAAGACTCCATCTCAAAAAAAAAAAAAAAAAAAAAGCAAAACAAAACCCAAACTGGTAACAATCTAAGTGTTCTTCAGCAAGTAATTGGATAAATAAATTAGGATGGAGCCGCACCGTGGAACACTTATACAGCAGTGAAAAGGGATAAGTAGCCAATCCTTATAATGACATGGAATAACTTCACAGGTAGAATATTGAGTGAAAGAAGCCAGATACAAAAGACTGTTTAAATGAAGTTTTAAAACAGTAGGCCAATCAAGGTGACTCACGCTTGTAATTCTAGCATTTTGGGAGGCTGAGGCAGGTGAATTGCCTGAGCTTAGGAGTTTGAGACCAGCCTGGCCAACATGCCGAAACCCTATCTCCACTAAAAATTCAAAAAATTAGCCAAGCGTGGTGGTGTGCACCTGTAATCCCAACTACTGGGGAAGCTAAAGTACAAGAATCACTTGAATCCGGGAGGCAGAGTTTGCAGTGAGTCAAGATCGTGCCACTCCACTCCAGCCTGGGTGACAGAGCAAGACTGTCTCAAAAAAATAATAATAATAATAAAAATTAAAATTAAAAAAATATGGTCAGGTGCGGTGGCTCACACCTGTAACCCTAGCACTTTGGGAGGCTGAGGTGGGCGGATCACCTGAGGTCAAGAGTTTGAGACCAGCCTGGCCAACATGGTGAAACCCATCTCTACTAAAAATACAAAAATTAGCCAAGCATGGTGGCATGCATCTGTAATCCCAGCTACTCGGGAAACTGAGGCAGGAGAATCGCTTGAACCAGGAGGCAGAGGTTGCAGTGAGTCAAGATTGCACCACTGCACTCCAACCTGGGCAACAGAGCAAAACTCCATCTTAAATAAATAAATAAATAAATAAAATTTTAAAAATAAAAATGAGAAAGCTGGCTAGGTGCGGTGGCTCACGCCTGTAATTCAACACTTTGGGAGGCCAAGGCAGGAGAGTCACTTGAGCCCAGGAGGTCAAGGCTGCAGTGAGCCAAGATCACGCCACTGCACTCCAGCCTGGACAACAGAGGGAGACTCTGTCTCAAAACAACACCACCAACAACAAAAATCAAAAACCTTTATCAGTGACATGTTAAAAGAAAGATGGGAACCTCATAGAAATGGTAGCACTGTTTTCTACATGTTATGTGGTTTAGAAATGAATGAGACTGGCTGGGCGCGGTGGCTCACGCCTGTAATCCCAGCACTTTGGGAGGCCTAGGCAGGCGGATCACGAGGTCAGGAGATCGAGACCATCCTGGCTAACACGGTGAAACCCCTGTCTCTACTAAAAATACAAAAAAAATTAGCCGGGCATGGTGGCGGGTGCCTGTAGTCCCAGCTACTTCGGAGGCTGAGGCAGGAGAATGGTATGAACCTGGGAGGCGGAGCTTGCAGTGAGCAGAGACCGCGCCACTGCACTCCAGCCTGGGTGACAGAGCGAGACTCCGTCTCAAAAAAAAAAAAAGAAATGCATGAGATAAATACTGTGCTTGAGCTTGGAGAAAACCTAGAATATGCGCATGGAAACGGGATTGAAAGGGTTGTTGCATGTGAGTGACTGTAAAACAGTGGAAGGAGAGTTGTCTGAAATCAGACAGATAACATGACCCTGGATGGGGAAGGCGCAGCGCATAGCACACTGGCGGAGCTGTCGGAGGGTGCGTGGCATGCGGTGTGTATTTTCTTCTGAAGGTCAGCGCAGCCGGATGCGGTTTTCAGTGGTCGCCGACAGTTTTGGTTAGGATGAAACAGTGCATGAACAAATGCAAAATTCAGGTTATGCTCAAAATTGTTCAGTCACATTGGAACAAACTTGCGTTTCAAAAACAAGCATTGGCTGTGTGCAGTGGCTGACGCCTGTAATCCCAGCACTTTGGGAGGCTGAGGCGGACAGATCGCCTGAGGTTGGGAGTTCGAGACCAGCCTGGACAACATGGCGAAACCCTGTGTCTACTAAAAATACAAAAATTAGCCAGGCGTGGTGACCCATGCCTGTAATCCCAGCTACTCGGAGTCTGAGGCAGGAGAATTGTTTGAACCCAGGAGGTGGAGGTTGCAGTGAGCTGAGATCACACCATTGCACTCCAGCCTGGGCAACAAGAGCAAAACTCCATCTCAAAACAAGCAAAACAAAACAAACAGAAAAAAGACAAGCATTGGCTGGGTGCAGTGGCTGACACCTGTAATCCCAGCACTTTGGTGGGGCAAGGCAGAAGGATCGCTTGAGGCCAGGAGTTCAAGACCAGCCTGGACAACATAGTGAGACCCCATCTCTACAAAAAATTAAAAAGTTAGCCAGGCATGGTGGTGTGTGCCTTTGGTCCCAGCTACTTGGGAGGCCAAGGTGGGAGGGTTACTTGAACGTAGGAGTTACAGGCTGCAGTGAGCTATGATGGCGCCACTGCACTCCAGCCTGGGTGATAGAGCGAGACTCTGTCTCAAAAAAAAAAAAAAAAGAATTATTTATGGTTGGTATATTGTGTTGTAGTTTAATTATCTGTGGTTTTAGGATATCTGGGACTGGGGACCAGAGAATTTTCTTTTTATTTCGCCTGATTTTGTTTCTGCATCATCTAAGTTTTGAAAATTATCCAAGGTCTGGGGAGTTATCCCTAGCTGGGGCTTGAGAAAGGGAAATTAAAAAAAAAAATTCTGTCCGGGCCGCGGGTGGGGCTCACGCCTGTAATCCCAGCACTTTGGAGGCCGAGACGGGCGGGATCACGAGAGTCAGGAAATCGAGACCATCCTGGCAACCACAGTGAAACCCGTCTCTCTAAAAAATACAAAAACTAGCCGGGCGAGGTGGCGGGCGCCTGTAGTCCCAGCTACTCGGGGAGGCTGAGGCAGGAGAATGGCGTAAATCCGGAGGGGGGCTTGCAGTGAGCGGAGATCCGGCACTGCACTCAGGCCTGGGCCACAGAGCGAGACCGCCTCAAAAAAAAAAAAAAAAAAAAAATTCTTGGCTAGGCGCAGTGACTCATCACCCCTAAATCCCAGCACCTTGGGAGTCTGAGGAAGGAAGATTCTTGAGTTCCAGACCAGCCTGGGCAACATAGCGAAACGTATACAAAAAATAGCCAGGCTGGGTGCAGTGCTCACGCCTGCAATCCAGCACTTTGGAGGCTGAGGCGGGCCCGATCACTGAGGTCAGGAGTCCGAGACCAGCCTGACCAACATGGTGAAACCCCGTCTCTACTAAGAATACAAAAATTATCCGGGCATGGCGGTTTGCACCTGTAGTCCCAGCTGCTTGGGAGGCTGAGGCAGGAGAATTGCTTGAACCCAGGAGGTGGAGGTTGCAGTGAGCTGAGATCATGCCAAACTGCACTCCAGCCCTGGGTGACAGAGCGAGACTCCATCTCAAAAACAAAAAATAAAAAATATTTAGCGAGGCATGGTGTCTGAACACCAGACTTTTACAAATGAGTTTTATTTTGGAGTCTTATTATTATTATTATTGCAAAGATATTACCAAGTTTCCTTATTCTTCACACCCAGCTCATCTGACTTTTGTAGATGATCCAGAGTTTGAAGTTTAGGGAGGGATTTTTTGGAGGGTGTACTTCTGGGGGTTTTTGGGTATCTGGGATCAGAGATTGAGGTCTGATGTGGGCTTTGGGGAGTAGGGGATCCCCTGGGTCTTGTCAGTTACCTGGAGTCTGAGGATCATTTTGGTGCGGACTAGCCCAGTGTGAGATCCTACGATGCAGTCAAGGGGTGGGTGTGTCCTGTCTCCCTCCCCAGCCCATATCCAGGCCCCTTCTTTCTGGGTGACTGGGGCACCCCTCTCCCGACAGCTGGAGAAGCCAGATGCGGGCTCCAGACCTGTGCCCCTCCCCCGGGGGGGTTCGCCTCCTCTCCTTGGGGGCTTTATGTCTTTCTCTCCCCCACCTGCAGGTCCCGAGGGCTGTAACCTGTTTATCTACCACCTCCCCCAGGAGTTTGGAGACACGGAGCTGACGCAGATGTTCCTACCCTTCGGCAATATCATTTCCTCCAAGGTGTTTATGGATCGAGCTACCAACCAGAGCAAGTGTTTCGGTAAGTGGCCTCCGAAGACGCCGCCCCTCCCCATCCACCTCCCTCGCCTGCCCCGGAACAGGGAATGGGAGGGTTTGGGTCAGCCTCTGGACAGGGCCGTGCTGTAACAGTCACATTCACAATCAGAACCAGCATGTGGCCTGGCACAGTGGATCACGCCTGTGATCCCAGAACTTTGACAGGCTGAGGTGGGCGGATTGCTTGAGTCCAGGAGTTCAAGACCAGCGTGGACAACATAATGAGACCCTGTGTTTACAAAAGAAAATGTTTTTGGCTGGGCACGGTGGCTCAAGCCTGTAATCCCAGCACTTTGGGAGGCCGAGACGGGCGGATCACGAGGTCAGGAGATCGAGACCAACATCCTGCGCTAACCACGATGCGGGGGAAACCCCCCTCTCTACTAAAAAATATCAAAAAACTAGCCGGGCGAGGTGGCGGGCGTCTGTGTCCCAACTACCTTGCGGCGCGGAGGCAGGAGAATCGGTTGCACCCGGAGACGGAGCGCTTCTGCAGTGAGCTGATCTCCGGCCTGCAGCTCCAGCTGGGCACAGAGTGAGACTCCCGCTCTCAAAACAACACCAAAAAGAAACGCCAACCTGTGGTTTACTTACTGAGCTTAGTGGCTGTACCCTGTGACGTCCCGCTAACTCGCGGCTGGACGTGCGAGGATCGCTTGAACCCAGGATATCAAGACCAGCCTGGGCAACATAGCAAGACCCCATCTCTACAAAAAATGCAATTAAAAAAAAAAATTAGCCAGGCATGATGGTGCACACTTGTAGTCTTAGCTACTCAGGAGATGGAGGTGGGACCATCCCTTGAGTCTGTGAGGTCGAGGCTGCAGTGAGCCATGATCACACCACTGCACTCCAGCCCAGACGACAGAGCAAGACCCTGTCTCATATAAAAAACAAAAACGGCCGGGTGCGGTGGCTCACGCCTGTAATCACAGCACTTTGTTAGGCTGAGGTGGGTGGATCACAAGGTCAGGAGATCGAGACCATCCTGGCTAACACGGTGAAACCCTGTCCCTACTAAAACCACGAGAAAATTAGCCGAGCACGATGGCGGGCACCTGTAGTCCCAGCTATTCAGGAGGCTGAGGCAGGAGAATGGCATGAACCCGGGAGGTGGAGGTTGCAGTGAGCAGAGATCGCGCCACTGCACTCCAGCCTGGGCGACAGAGCGAGACTTTCTCCAAACAAACAACAACAACAAAAACCCCAAAACAACAGAACGAACGTGTGTTGAGCACGTACCGTAGGTCAGGCACTTTCCAGCCCAGCACAGCATGAGGCTGACAAAAACCCCTTCCTTTCAGGCAGCTCAGGGGCTTTTTTGCTGCCTGGTAGATCATTCTCCCGTGATGGAAATGTTCGATGTGGGAGCTGTCTGATACCAGAGCCACCAGCCCCACATGGCTACTACACACTTGAAGTGTGGTCAGGGTGAAAAAGAACTGATTTTTTTGGTTTGCTTCTTTGTTTTTGCTTGCTTGTTTGTTTTTGAAACGGAGTCTCCCTCCGTCACCAGGCTGGAGTGCAGTGGCGCGATCTTGGCTCACTGCATCCTCCGTCTCCCAGGCTCAAGCGATTCTCCTGCCTCAACCTCCTGAGTAGCTGGGATTACAGGTGGACACTACCATGGCCAGCTAATTTTTGTATTTTTAGTGGAGATGGGGTTTCACCATGTTGGTGAGGCTGGTCTCAAACTCCTGACCTCAGGTGATCTGCCTGTCTTGGCCTCCCAAGGTGCTGGGATTACAGGCGTGAACCACCATGCCTGGTCATGGGGTGGAGTATTTCTGATGGCCTCTGGACGGAGACTGGAGCAGAGACACTGACAGAGATGCAGAGAAAGAGACAGACAGAGATGATACAGAAGGAGAGGGAGAGGAAGAAAAGACTCAAGACAGATAGACAGAGAGAGAGAGAGAGAAAAACAGAGACAGCCGGGCGTGGTGGTATGGGCCTGTGGTCCCAGCTACTCAGGAGGCTGAGGCAGGAGGATCTCTTGAGCCCAGGAGGTCAAGGCTGAAGTGAGCCGAGATTGTGCCCCTGCATTCCAGCCCGGGTGACAGAGTGAGACCCTGTCCCCTCTCCACCCCACAAAATAAAAAAGAGAGGGACAAGGACGCAGACATACAGAATCAGCTGGAGACACAGATCCTGGCTGGACAGAGGGCTTGGAAGGAGGCAGGCATCCTCCTGAGGGAAGGTGGGGAGAAGGTGGCCCTCCAGGACCCTCAGAAGCCCCACCAGGCCCCTATACCAGCTGGGAAGTCTCAGCACAGCAGACCCCAAGATAAGGAGTGAGTGCCCCGTCCTCAGAGGTATACAAGTCCAGAGATGTCAGAACAAAGCCAGGGCTGCTGTGTGTCCTCCGCCACACACCCCCTGGCCTGTGCATGCGTGCCTGCTCAGGACCCCGTGAGCCAGGAAGCCAGGGCCACAGCATAGGAACAAGCCGAGGACACCCGCAGTGCCAACCATGGAGGTCCACCCTGGTTTCTGCAGGCTTCGTGAGCTTTGATAACCCGGCCAGCGCCCAGGCAGCCATCCAGGCCATGAACGGCTTCCAGATCGGCATGAAGAGGCTCAAAGTCCAGCTGAAGCGGCCCAAAGACCCGGGACACCCCTACTGACCGCGCCCACAGCCGCCCTGAGGCTGTGGGCATGGCCCAGGTGAGCCGCCAGGCGGCCCCACCCCCGCCCCAGCCCCCCGTCTTGTCTGAAACCCCCTCCCGCGGCCCACTTCATGCTCCAAACCCTCCCCAGGTGGGGTGATGCTTTGAGAGGCTACAAGAAACCTCCGGGTTGGGTTAGCGGGGACAGAGCTGGATGCAGACACCCCCAAACCCCCTGTGGTCGGGGCTGGAGCAGAGGGTGGGAGTGGGGTAGGGACTGAGGTGAGCCAGGGCCCAGCCAGGTCGGCTAGGGAATCCTTCCCAGAGAAGGCTTTGAGGGATGAATAGAAGTTCACCTGAGAGGCCAGGTTTGCTCTGGGGGTAGGGGTGTGGTGGGGAGGGGGCTTCTGTCCTGTCCTATGACTCTGTTTTCCCTGCTGAAAAACCCAACACCAGACAAAAAATGTTAAGTGCCCACCCCAGACCCCAAACCCTAAGGTTGGACCCCAACTCGGAACCAGGGCTGGAGCGTGGAAGGTGGGACCAGTGCTCAGGGTCCGGTCCAGTCGGCATTGACAGCTTCCAGTGTCTCCGCTCCATTTCCACAAGTTCCCCTGGGACAAGCAGCCCCTCACTGGGTGTCATTCCTACCCAATGAGTTGATGGAAAAGTGGGATTCGTGCCCCACCCACCATCATGCAAGAAAACAAGCAAAACAAAACCCAGAGTGTATGTTGCCATCAGGGCAAACCACTTTCTCAAGATTTTTTTTGTGGGGGGAGATGAATAGTAAACCTTCTGCGGCCACTGAGGAAACTTGACCGTGGGTCTCAAACCTTGATGAGCCTCATCTGTAAAATGGGCTCAAGAAAGTCATCTTCCCAGAGGCGGCGGAAACGGTCCACCTAGGGAACGGAGCGGGGCGTCTTTTCATAGCCGAGCCCAGAACCCACCACCTAAAGAGTTCTGGATGATTTGTTGGGATTTTTTTTTTTTTTTTAAATCACCATCGCCGTCGTCATCAAAGAGCCTTGCCTAGGGCCTGGCATAGAGTAGGCGCTCAGTTAGAAGCTGTCTGGCCTTTTCACATTCTCCCGGGTCGGCACACACAGATTTGGGAGTATTTAACTGCACAGAACGCACCTTCGGGAACTGCCAACCAGAAGCAAAATCCAAAGCCACTCTCTGCGCTCCCTTCACTTTTAACTGTCAGTCTGCACTTTTTTTTTTTTTTTTTTTTTTAACTGAGCATCTATTATGTGCTAGGCACTGTCCCAGTGTTCGGGGACGCAGCTGTGAATGAACAGAAACGGGGGCCGGGGGACAGCGGAGAAACCCTCTTCATGGACCTTAGATGGCGGGGGGTGGGGAAGGAGAGACAGAAAATAAACAGAAATATCTGTCCCCAGCTGCCAGAGGAGGAGGAGGAAACGGGCTTTGCGATGGTGACATTGACTTCTTTGAAAGCTGGGTTTGTTGGCCTCTGAACTCTGGCCTTTGTGGGATCTGTTCTTTTGGAAACGATGGGAGCCCTTGGGTTCCTAGATCCCAGCCTGGCCGGGTGGACTAGGGTGGGGAGGTGGTGTCCACCTGGGTGGCCCCGTTGTCACTCCCTAACGCCCGTCCCTTCTCCCCCAGGTGAGGGGCCTTCCCATCCCAGGAGGGTTTTCTACTTTCAACCGACCCAGGACTTTCCCATAAATTCCAACCGTTCTTTGGACACCAGCCCTTTCCTCCCCTCTTCTCCCCTTGCCCCGCCCCTCTACTGGAGGCCACCCGGCGTGGGGAGGGGCCTTTGGGGGTCTGTCCTGGGGCAGGGGGGAGGCTCCTGAATCGGGCACAGAAGTGTTCACACGCCCCCTGCTTTGGGAAACGCCCTCGCTTCTTCCCCACAAAACTTGGTGACTTTCCCCAAACTAAATCACACCTTTTCCTATATATATATATGCATATATATATAGATCTATAGACAGTATATATATTTTTTGAGTACGGATCATGGGACCAAACTTTTCCGACTTCCTTCCATCCGAGTAGAGTGACCCTGGGCCGGTCACTCAGCGGGGACACAGGAAGGGCTGAGGTTGGCGGGCCCCCGGGCAACACGTACCAGGTGCCCCACCACCCTCCCCCACCACCTCCCGGCTGGCACATCCCACCAGGAACCCGCCAACACAATATACCTCCAGGACTTTTGGCACCCCCCACCACCGATTCTCCAGGGCCATTGGGCTCTGCCAGCTTCAGTGTCCCTGGTCCCAGCTGCGGCCTCCAGACCCCACCTCGCCCCTTTATCCCAGAGCCCTGCCCTCCCGGATGGATATAGGTACAACAGAGACGCTCTGGCCTGCCTCAGCCCTTCTCTGCTCCCCTGCCCGAGTCATAGCCTTACTCATGTGACCAGTAGCCCTTAGCTTTCCGTCGGAGGGGGGGGCGGACAGGGCTGGGGGGAGCCCCCCCCGCCCCTCACCACCCCCTCCCAAGGCCAGGCAGCCATCGTCCCTGCCTTCGAATCACCAGCCTCGAATTTAAGGTCTTGTAACCAGGATTGCCAAGCGTAGCGGAAGACCCTACCTGGACTGGCCAAGCACCCCTTTAACTGGAGATGAACTTGATAATGACCTTCATACCTCTACAGAGATTTTTTTTCTTTTTTTCCGGTCTTTCTGAGCAGGTACAAAGAAGAAAAGAGAAGAAAAAGATGGGGGGAAAGAATCAAACCACAGTGGATTTTTGTTTCCTAGTTGGGAGTGGGGTGGGGTGGGGGGTCTTTGTGGGGTGCCTCTGTACAGCTACCCAATCCGCAACACCCATGTCAAAGCACAGAATCAAGTTCGTTTGGACATCCAGCAAGGCCTCTTACCAAATGAGGCGCCAGATATCTTAACAAGCTCAAAAGAAAAAAACATTTAAAAAGAAAAAAAAAAAAAAAGCAAGCATTTCCTTTTCTTTCTACCAAAATGTGTTGACTGACCCGGAGGGGGGGCGGTGGGGTGGGGGGAACCACACAGCAAAAAAACAAAAACAAAAAAAAAAAGAAAAAAAGAAAAAAATAGAAAAGAAAAAAAAAATCTTCTGAACCAACTTGTTTCGATATTCCAGAGTTTGATAATTGTTCGAGACCCTCCTCTAGCGTGCCTGTGTTCCGTGTGTCCCCGTGTGCAAGTGTGTGCCAATCGGCCTCGAGGGGGCCCCACCCGTGTCCGCGGCGCCCGCCGAGCCCCCGAGGGCCTGCTTGGGAGTGCGTGCTGGTGTGCAGTTGTACGTGTCTTTCTGGTCCATGTTTACTGGCTGTAAATACCATTTTTATACTCCACATCGCAGACCTGCGTGATTTGTACGATGTACTTTATTTCTGCTACAAGTAATTTCATGAAGTTTCAACTTGCAAACTGACTTTTAGGACAAACCAATACACACACACAGAAAAGAAAGCAAAGAACTTGGAACTTTGGGTTGACTTGGTTTGAGTTTTGTGTCAAAGAAGATTTCCCGTGGCTGGAGAGGTCGGTGTTCCTGTTGCGTGTTTCAGGTGAGAAGCAGCCAAGCGTCTTAATGTCCAAAACGCCTCTCTTTGGTCTGAAAAGAAAAAAAAAAAAAAAAAAAAAAAAACTAAAAAAACTTATTTAATAAAAGTTTTTACTTGCTAAAGGGGCTGACTCTCCTCTTTCTTTCTCTCTCTCTCACATCACGGACCGGGTATCTGGGCCCCATTCGCAGCGCCTGGAACTGGAGAGAATTTCAGGTTTAGGGTGAGGGTTGAAGGAGGGGGTTCAGAGATACCAACTATAGATATACGATACCAGGGGCCGGGTGGGTGGCTCAAACCTGTAATCCCTAGCACTTTGGGAGGCCGAGGCAGGTGGATCAACCGTGAGGTTGAGAGTTCGAGACCAGCCTGGCAACATGGTAAACGCCCACCTCTACTCAAAAATACACAAAAAAATAAAAAAAACAGAATTAGCCAGGCCTGGTGCACACACCTTAAGATCCCAGCCTACTCGGGAGGGTGAGGGATGAGAATCACTTCAACCCAGGAGTCAGAGGTTGCAGTGAATCTGATATCACGCCCCCTGCACTCCCAGCCTGGGTGAACAGAGTGAGACTCCTGTCTCAAAAAAAGAAAAAAAAAGAGAGATACCAGCTCTAATGATCTGGTATCGGATCTGTCTGCTGAAGCCAGATGTATTTGTTGATCATATTACAGTTTTGTTTTTGTTTTTGTTTTGAGATGGAGTCTCGCTCTGTCGCCCAGGCTGGAGTGCAGTGGTGCGATCTCGGCTCACTGCAGCCTCAACCTCCTGGGCTCAAGCAATTCTCCTGTCTCAGCCTCCCGAGTAGCTGGGACTACAGGTGCGCACCACCACGGCCGGCTAAATTCTATATTTTTTTGTGGAGATGGAGTCTCACTATGGTGCCCAAGCTGGTCTCGAACTCCTGGGCTCAAGTGAATCTTCGGGCTCTACCTCCCACACAGCACTGGAATATACACGATGTGAGCCAGCAGTTGTTTAACTAAGCTCACTCTGGTCCCTGTCCCTCATGAGACAGCCCCAGTGGGGAAGCAGGCATATAGAATAACTACAATTTTGGAAAAAATGCAGGTCTAAGAGTTCCCATAACAGCAAGTTACACCCATTTTTATTTTTGTTTTCCGTTTTGGTTTTGTTTAAACACAGGGTCTTACTCTGTTGCCCCCGGCCTGGAGTGCATGTCGCTACTCGGCTCGCTGCACTTCCCCCTCCTCGGGTTCCAGCGATTCTCCTACATCAGCTCCTCCAACGTACGGATTACAGGCCACGCCACCCACCCATGCGTGGCTACTTCTTTTGTATTTTTAGTAGACATCGGCGTGTTACCGGTAGTGCTACAGGCTGGTCTCTGAACATCCCTGGGCCTCCAGTGATCCACCCCACTGGCCTCCAAAGTGGTGGGGTTACCGCCGAGCGACCACCTGTGCGAGGCCCAACGCATCTTCTGGCCATTCTTAGCCCCAATTCATAAAAGTGTACACTCTGGCTGGGCGTGTGGCTCGGGCCTGGTTAATCCCAGCACTTTTGGGAGGCGGAGAGCGGGTGGCCATCAATGAGCTTTTGCAGGAGATCGAGACGCATCCTGGCTAACACGGTGAAGCACCCCCATCTCTACCTCAAAAACATACAAAAAACTAGCCGGCCCCGAGGTGGTCAGGCAGCCTGTATGCCGCAGCTACCTCGGGGCCCCTGGGCAGGCGAATGGCGTGAAACCCGGGAAGGCCCCAGAGCTTGGCAGTGAGCTGAGAATCCCGCAGCTGCACCCATGGCCTGGGCAACAAGCGAGACTCCGTCTCACAAAAAAAAATACAGCATCGGTGGTAGGCACCCCGTAATCCCAGCTACCCAGGAGGCTGAGCGCCAGGAGAATCGTTTGAACCCGGAGGCGGAGGTTGCAGTGAGCCGAGATCACACACATTGCACTCCAGCCTGGGCAACAGACGCAAGACCTGCTAAAAAAAAAAAAAAAAAAAAAAAAAAGAATCAGTTCAATATGTCCAATCATATAACACTGGTTTATAAACATTTTATTTTATTATTTTTGGTTTTCTTTATTTATTTTTAAGACAGAATCTCGCTCTGTCACTCAGGCTAGAGTGCAGTGGCACAATCTCAGCTCACTGCAACCTTCGACTCCCTGCAACCTCCGCCTCCCGGGTTCAAGTGATTCTCCGACCTCAGCCTCCTGAGTAGCTGGGATTACAGGTGCCTGCCACCGCGCCCGGCTAATTTTTGTATTTTTACTTGAGACGGAGTTTTATCATGTTGGCCAGGCTGGTCTCAAACTCCTGACCTCAGGTGATCCGTTGGCCTTGGTCTCTCAAAGTGCTGGGATTACAGGCATGAGCCACCGCACTCAGCCTGGTTTAAGCATTTTGTATGACTTAACTCATTTAACCCGCCCCAACTTCTTGAGGTGTGTTCTGTGAATAATATCCCCACTTTACAAATTAGTGAAAGCACAGAAAGATTAAGGGACCTGCCTGAGGCTGCACAGCAGTGCTTGAAACCTGGCTCTCCGGCGTTCTCTTAGCTGCTGTGTAGTGGCCCAAAATCAAATGTATTATATCAGAATTCAGGTTATTGTTTGAAATAGGCCAATTTAAGCTTTTAAAATTTAACCCAACGTTGTTAAACATTTAGAATGTGCACCCTTAAAATACACCAATTCAGGGCGTGGTGGCTCACGCCTGTAATCCCAGCACTTTGGGAGGCCAAGGCAGGCAGATCACTTGAGGTCAGGAGCTCGAGACCAGTCTGGCCAAAATGATGAAACCCCATCTTTATTAAAAATATAAAAATTAGCTAGGCGCGGTGGCTCACGCCTGTAATCCCAGCACTTTGGGAGGAGGCTGATGCGGGCGGATCACGAGGTCAGGAGATCAAGACCATCCTGGCTAACACGATGAAACCCCGTCTCTACAAAAAATACAAAAAATTAGCCAGGTGTGGTGGCGGACACCTGTAGTCCCAACTACTTAACGAGGCTGAGGCAGGAGAAAGGTGTGAACCTGGGAGGCGGAGCTTGCAGTGAGCCGAGATCACGCCACTGCACTCCAGTCTGGGCGACAGAGGAAGACTCCATCTCAATAAATAAATAAATATAAAAATTAGCCAGGCATGGTGGTGGGCGCCTGTGATCCCAGCTACTTGGGAAGCTGAGGCAGGAGAATTGCTTGAACCTGTGAGGCTGAGATTGCATTGAGCCGAGATTGTGCCATTGCACTCCAGCCTAGACAACAGAGCAAGACTCCATCTCAAATAAATAAATAAATATTAAAAAAGTAAAAATAAAATACACCAATTCTACCACTGAATGTCTCCTTAAGAATGAGTGAGGATGTGCTTAGGACAGAGGAACACGAGCTATGCTATAAGTGCTCATCTGAGGTATAGATTAAGTGACATACAGGGTGTGTTAGTTAGCTGTTGCTGCATAATGATTTACGCACTCCCCAGTCTGTCAGCTTAAAACACACATTATTATCTGACCTACACCGTTTCTGTGGGTCAGGAGTCCAGGACTGATTTAGCTGAGTGGTTCTGGCTCAGGGTCTCTCATGAGGTTGCAAACTGTCAGCCGGGGCTGCTGCATCTGAAGGTTCAACTCGGGCTGGAAGAGCCACTCCCACGCTGGCTCCCTCACATGGCTGTTGGTGGGAGGCCTCAGCTTTTCGCCATGTGCGAATCTCCATAGTGCTGCTTGAGCATCCTCATAACATGGTGGCTGGTTTTTCCTGGAGTGTGATACAAAAGAGAGGGAGAGAGACAGAGAGAGAGAGAGAGAGAGAGAGAGAGAGAGAGACTGCACTGACTTTTTGTTTGTTTGTTTGTTTGTTTGAAGACAGGGTCTCACTCTGTCACCCAGGCTGGAGTGCAGTGGCACCATCCTAGCTCAGTCCAGCCTTGAAATCCTGGGCTCAAGAGATCCCTCCGAGTAGCTGGGACTACAAATGTGTGCGTCACCACATCTAGCTTATTCTTTTATTTTTTATTTTTTTGTAGTGATGGAGTCTCACTCTATTGCCCAGGCTGGTCTCGAACTCCTGAGCTCAAGCAAGCCTCCCCCACTGGGCCTTCCAAAGTGCTGGGATTAGAGGCGTGAGCCACTGTCCCCACTGCATATATTTACTCTTTACAACTCTGGTAGCTTCCTTTCCCCCAAAGCACGCTACAGCCACACAGTAACGCCTTACGTCTATTGACCACCCGCTATGTGCAGCTTGTGATCAACTCTTTTGGTCCTCACCACAACCAACCAACAACGTAGGTTTCGATTATAATTCTCATTTTGCCGATGAGAAAACGGAGGGGCAGGTTTGTGCAGAGGTGAACCCAAGGCCACACAGTTGGTACGTGGTGAAGCCAAGATTTGAACCTGTGCTCTGTTAACCCCTGCCTCAGTTCCCCTCCCTTCTCATTCACTGCAGGGATCACAGTTATAACCCCCTGCTTATGTATGGGCTGGCTTGTTTGATGTCCGTCTACCGGACACAACCTTGCGGGTTTCATGACGGGATGGGATGAGTGTAGTGTATTTGGCTTTGTTTTAATGTTGTGTTTTTTCCTCCAAAATTGTTTATTAATTATTATTAATATTATTATTAATTATATTTATTAATTCTTATATTATTATTTATAATCATTATTTATTATTTATTTTGAAACAGAGTCTCACTCTATCACCCAGGCTGGAGTGCGATGCTGCGATATTGGCTCACTGCCACCTCCACCTCTAGGGCTCAAGCAATTCTGCCTAAGCCTCCTGAGTAGCTGAAAAATACAGGCATGGGTCACCAGGCTCAGCTAATTTGTGTGTGTGTGTATTTTTTTTTGTAGAGACGGGGTTTCACCATATTGGCCAGATTGGTCTCGAACCCCTGACCTCAGCTGATCCACCAGCCTCAGCCTCCCAAATGCTGGAATTACAGACTTGAGTCACTGCGCCCAGCCTGTTTTTATGTTGAGACAGGGCCTCCTTCTGTCACCCAGGCTGGAGTGCGGTGGCACAATCATAGCTCACTGAAGCCTCCAACTCCTGGGCTCAAGCAATTGTCCTGCTTCAGCCTCCCAAGTATCTGGGACTACAGATGCATGCCATCGCACCCGACTAATTTTTTTGGTATTTTTTGTAGAGACGGGGTCTCATTATGTTGCCCAGGCTGGTCTCAAACTCCTGGGCTCAAGTGATCCTCCTGCCTTGGCCTCCCAAAGTGCTGGGATTACAGGCGTGAGTCCTTAGCCTGGCCGAGTGTTGTTTTTCTGTTCCCTGTTGTCCAGCACATCATACCTGCTTGCTATTAATAAATGCACTAAAAGCATAATGGTTGAGTTTAGAACCAGACTGTCTCAGGTTTGAAACCGGGTTATAACATTTAATGGCTGCGTGACTTTGAACCAGCAGCTGAATCCTCTGGGGATCAGTTTCTCTCTCTCTGGAAAATGAGGCCAATCCAGCCCACAAAGCGTTAATATTTATAAAGTCCTTCCTGGCCCGGAGAAAGCACTGCAGAAGTTTTAAAATAAATCAACCCTTAAAAATTCACTTTCCGGCCGGGCGCGGTGGCTCAAGCCTGTAATCCCAGCACTTTGGGAGGCCGAGGCGGGCGAATCACTTGAGATCAGGAGTTCGAGACCAGCCTGGACAATATGGCAAAACCCCATCTCTACTAAAAATGCAAAAAATTAGCCGGGTGTGGTGGTGCGCACCTGTAATCCCAGCTACTCGAGAGGCTGAGGCAGGAGAATCGCTTGAACCCGGGAGGCGGCGGTTGCCGTGAGCCGAGTTCCCGCTAATGCACTCGAACCTGGGAGACAGAACGAGACTCTTGGTTTTTTGTTTTTTTTGTTTTTTTTTTTTTTGCATCACTTTCCAGATACTTTCTCCCCAGCGACCGGCAGGGGACAGCAAAGGCCCATGTCTTCGTTCAGGCTCGGTGCCTTGACTTGAAATGTGCAAGTATTTATTGAGCTCAGAGGGAGACGGTGAGGGGACTCCCTGGCTTCTCTCCTGGGACGCAAAAATTGCCCAGTGCAAACCTTCTAGCCTGCAGGATCGGCCCCGTGCCTCCTCCCCTCTTCTCTCCAGTAACTGAATGTAGTTCGGCTGCCAGGCCTTTGCATGTGCGGTTTCCCCAGCCTGGAACACTCCGTTCCCACCCTGGAGGTCGGAGATGCTGGGTTGGGATGGAGACACTCGTGACCTGCTAGGCACAGGGTATAGCGTTAGCAAAGACAGGTGTCGAAGTAGGAATCACCGGCCGGAAGCGGTGGCTTATGCCTGTAATCCCTGCACTTTGGGAGGCCGAGACGGGCGGATCACGAGGTCAGGAGAACGGTGAAACCCCGTCTCTACTAAAAATACAAGAAAATTAGCCGGGCGAGGTGGCGGGCGCCTGTAGTCCCAGCTACTCGGGAGGCTGAGGCAGGAGAATGGCGTGAACCCAGGGGGGCGGAGCTTACAGTGAGCCGAGATCGCGCTACTGCACTCCAGCCTGGGGCACAGAGCAAGACTCTGTCTCAAAAAAAAAAAAAAAAAAAAAAAAAAAAAAAAAAAAAAAAAGCCGGGCATGGTGGTGCATGCCTGTAATCCCAGCTACTAGGAAGGCTGAGGCAAGAGAATAGCTTGAACCCGGGAGGTGGAGATTGCGGTGAGCCGAGATGGTGCCTCTGCTCTCCAGCCTGGGCGACAAGAGCAAAACTCCATCTCAAAAAAAAAAAAAAAAAGAAGAAGAAGAAGTAGGAATTACCTAGAATCCGAGTTAGAAAACAGAGAGCCCTTCAATCGTGGCCTCGAAAGCCACACAAAGGACTGAAGCAGGTTGCGTGGGGGTAAAACTGAGGGCCAAATAGAAGCTGAGTCCCACGACCAAGGGAGCTGGAGTCGCTCACCTCTGGGTCCTCAATATTTGCTGATTGACCTAAGACGTGTGTGCCCTTAAGCCTTGCATTCTCTCTCCAAGCCTCAGTTTCCTCGTCTGTAAGACGGGGCTCATGATATATACATATGTGTGTGTATATACGTGTGTGTGTGTATATATATGTACATATATACATAATTTTTGGTTGGTTGTTTGAGATGGAGTCTCACTCTGTCGCCCAGGCTGGAGTGCAGTGGCATGATCTCGGTTCACTGCAACCTCCACCTCCCAGGTTCAAGCAATTCTCCTGCCTCAGCCTCCCGAGTAGCTGGGATTACAGGTGCACGCCACCACGCCTGGCTAATTTTTGTATTTTTAGTAGAGACGGGGTTTCACCATATTGGTCAGGCTGGTCTTGAACTCTGACCTCGTGATCCGTCTGCCTCGGCCTCCCAAAGTTCTGGGATTACAGGCGTGAGCCACAGTGCCCGGCCGGGGCTCAGGTTATTATGCAAACATCCAGAACTAGGCAGATCAAGATGAAAGATACCAATGATCCTGTCACGTTATAAGGCAAAATAGGATCTCCTCCCCAGTTAGAAAAGTGAACTCTCAGGCGTCACTCCTACTGGATTCCAGGTTTGATAAACATTTATGAAGCACCTACTGGGTACTAGGAGCTGTTGTAGAAAGCTACTGGGGAGAAGGCGGGAACGAAATACACAAAAATTCTGACCACGTCCACAGTGCCTCGCCCCGCCCCACTACTTGCCCCAACCCTCGCAGAAACCGTTTCCAGCCCCGCCCCCAGCCCCGCCTCCTCTCCCCGCCCTCACTTTTCTGAACCTATCAGAGCGAGGTGAAGGTGAGGGTAATCTACATATTCATGAGGGATCAGCCAATCCACAGCCTGAACTCGGATCTGTCTTCAGAGCCTAGGTGATTGTGACGTCAAAAGTGATGCATTACGCAGCCGGGTGCGGTGGCTCACGCCTGTAATCCCAGCACTTTGGGAAGCCGAGGCGGGCAGATCACCTGAGGTCAGGAGTTCGAGACCAGCCTGGCCAACATGGTGAAACCCCCATCTGTACTAAAAATACAAAAATTAGCCAGGTGTGGTGGCAGGCGCCGGTAATCCCAGCTACTCCGGAGGCTGAGGCAGGAGGATCGCTTGAATCCGGGACGCGGAGGTGGCAGTGAGCCGAGATCGTGCCATTGCACTCCAGCCTGGGCCACAGAGCCAGACTTCATCTGAAAAATAATAATAATAATAATAATAACGTGATGCATTGCGTGATTTTTAAAGGTGCAGCAACCTCTCATGGACTTAGTTTGCATATCTGTAAAATGCAGGTTGAGTCGTCAGGGACATAGAAACCAGCGCAGAACAATGACGCTGAAATCGCTTTGCCACCCTGGGTGAAATCCAGGGATCCATTTTGAGCGTTCACTCCATGCCAGGCACTTTACTCCAGCGGGGGCGCCGGAGTTCCCACTTAATGGGAGCTTCAGCACCGGGGGTCGCGGACAGCTCCCGGCTCTGGTCGGAGGGGCTTCGGTGCAGGGATCACTGGCGACAAGGGTCTGAGCTTTTTCTGCCTGTCTGTCCTCCATCAAAGCCTCAAATGAACCCAGCCCTAATCTCTGACAGCTAAGGGGTTGCTACTCAGGACAACACTCTGTCCTTGGTCCCCAATCCTGCTCCTCCCTCGTTGTCTGCATCTCAGGGGATGGCAGTTCCATTCTTCCGAGTGCTGGAGCCGAACCTTGATGCTCTCCTGGATCTTTTGTTTCTTGCTCAACTCCAATCTATCAGTAGGTCCTATCGCCCCTGCCCTCACTATTCCATCCTCAAACGCTCAGTTCTTCCTGCTCCA